AAATCCATTTGTTTTCAGCTGCTTGACCAACCATGGCAACCCACAGAGAGGACAAACACCCAATGGTCCTGCTCATCCGCGAGCAAGGAGCCAGGGAAGAGGATGAGCTAAGTCTCACTGGATTTACCAACTTTATTTCGGTGCTGAAGCTAACGGAGATGCAAAGATGCAGCAGAAATAGTCTGGAGGACCTGCTAGGTCCTAGATACCTGGAGAACAGAGACAACAGCTCCAGAGCCACCAGGGAACTGGAGGAGGGAGCAGAATAAGCGAGGTGCCCCCCAAACAGGCTGGGTACCCGTGCCGGAGACCCTCTGCCACCGTTTCCCAGAGCAGGACCAACGATGCAGGGTTTTGGAAGAGACTCTCCAAATGGAAGGGGCAGCTCACACCATGGCATCTTGGCCCCTGAAGACCAGGGGAGCTCAGCGATGGGGAATCACAGAATCACAGAATCACAGAATAGTAGGGGTTGGAAGGGACCTCTGTGGGTCACCCAGTCCAACCCCCTGTCAAAGCAGGGTCACCCAGAGCAGGCTGCACAGGACCTTGTCCAGGCGGGTCTTGAATATCTCCAGAGAAGGAGACTCCCCAGCCCCTCTGGGCAGCCACACCCTCAGAGGGAAGAAGTTCTTCCTCGGGTTCAGCTGGAGCTTCCTCTGCTTCAGTTTGTGCCCGTTGCCCCTTGTCCTGTCGCTGGGCACCACTGAAAAGAGCTTGGCCCCATCCTCCTGACACCCACCCTGCAGATATTTGCAAGTATATATTAGGTCCCCTAAAAAGCACCCTGTTTTTCGTGCCGAAGGAACCCCCCGCGTCAGCGGAGCTGCGGACACGGCGCGTTGGCAGCGATGACGAAGAACGAGGGAATCACAAACAGCGCGTTTCCGTTTGGAGCGACGTCTATTTACTAGACCACAGATTCAGCTTAAAAAATACTAAAGTGGGGATGGATTTTTTTTTAATTCTTTTTTTTAGAAAAAACAAAAACAAATCATCCCGAGACACAGAGCAGCCGGAGGGATTTTTCCAAGGAGTTAAAGGATTTAAAAAAACCCCACAAACCTAGGGACTTTGATCAGACTGGAAAATTTCAGATCAAAGGTGGATATTCTGAGAAGTTACGAGTGTGGTAAAACAGGGATTACAGGCAAAAATGCTACGCAGCCCTAACAGAATGGCTTCTACGAAGCACCCAGTGTGTTCTCTCCATACTCACTTTACGGTCCTGCGTTCCATTTACACATCAAAAGCACGCGGCTGCCAGCAGATACGCTTAAGATGTTTCCTCCCACTCCCAGAGTAGCAGAGGATCTGCTAATGCGAACCTTCTTGACGTGAAGAGCTCGTTTTCAATAATTAAAGTCTTTCCCAGCAATCGCCTGGGGAGTTTACACGAGAGGCAGCCGGCGCGAAGGGACGGGCAGAAGAAAACGGAGGGTTTAGCGTCGAGC